TCACTGGTTAATTATAATTTTCAGCTTCTTTAACCAAATGATCTTCACGGTTGTATTTCAGTTTGAGTTTATTCAGATCATTTGCACCACAGATTATTCCAATGTCAAACAATGAAGGCAGACACACACACAAGTCAGCCGCACGTATACACACACCAACATTTAACAAGATGTAAAGAATCCAAAATCAGAGCTCAACATTTCTCTATTTTAGAAATTCAGTTATTCTGTAAACACTGAAATGAAGTTTTTAGGTGAATAACAGGATGTTCTGTCACATCTGTCTCACTGTGAAACTTCATGATTCATAGTTCATGATTTTTGTAAACCACTGAAAGTACTCGTCTGAAAAAAAATCAGCATTATAAAAATAGTATTACCTGAGTTTTGTTAATTCTTATTTCTAAAATATATACATCTTATCCCTTTAGACCCTTTAGAGTGATTAAGATTCAGGGTCAGTGGCTCTGATGGATCTTAAATCTTTAATCCAGGAAGTATTATGTTGAATTCCTGGGAATAAAAGGTGACGGACACAGACAGCACAGACAGCACAGACACCAGCATCACGGAGACACAACGCAGCGCCGGTGCAGACGATGCAGGTGATGCAGACGATGCAGGTGATGCAGACGGTGCAGACGATGCAACTTTGGGTCTGGTGTAGATGTAAGGATGATCCTGCAGAAAAGTGAAGAAATAAAAACATGCTCATGTCAACAACTTTCACGAACAGACGTGAAAAACTCCTGATGTGTCAGTCGTACCTCCGATGGGCAGATGAGTTTCACCGGCTCTGACAACGTCTTTATCTTGTCTTTGGCTCCTTCAGGCTGGAACTAAGGAAACAGTCAGTGACACACACACACACACACACACACACACACACACACACACAGGATGGAGTTATTGTGAGAACACTACGACACTGTAAGTTAAGATTAAACAGAACTTTACATTTATGAAAAGCTCGGATGCAAACATTGATATATTAGTCTGAGCAACCTGCTGTGATCTCATCTGTGTTCCAGGTGACCTCTCATGGAGGTGAGAGGCCACCACAGTTCCAGCTGCACTTTGTTGCACTAAATAAACTTTACTTTCACATTATAAAATCTTTAAACTTCACCATGTTGTTCCACAGGCCCTTTGCCAGCTCCTCGTGTCCCTTCACAGTGAAGTGGAAACAATCTACCGCGAAGAAGCTCATGTTGATCGTCCCGTTCTGGATTCAAGACAGAAAAAGTTTTTAAATTCAAATAGATTTTATTTTAGTTTTTTATTAAGAGAAAACTTTGTGTGTTTGTGTGTGAGACGTACAGGAAGTCTGGCTGGTTCTGCGCTCTCTAAATACGGCTGCAGAACGACAGCAAAGTCGTTTTTAAAGAAGCGATCGCTGCGAAGAAGCTTCTCTAATCGTCTCTGTAAAGAAGAAATGTTAAAATAGGCAACATGTTGTGAATAAAATATATAATGTGTAATTCATTACTGGTTCACAATTTCACAATATGGATAATATTAATATTTCTGGTTCCAGATCAGGAAAAACTACTTTTTAATCCCCGCGATGACGACTGAATCAACACAGCTCGACCTCAAAGGCACATTTTAAATGTTAAAAAATGCAAATTACAAACCAAACATTGAGGATTAGTCTAAAATGAAGGTAAATATGTTCAGCCTGAAAATGATCGATTGTAATGATGCAGGTATTTTACCACAAAATGACTTTTTCAGAATCAGCCGCACCGATGTGAACTCGTTTATCAAACACTTGACTTCAGCGGCTCCTCACACGTCACCGAACACAGACGCTCACCTGGAATTCAAAGTTGATCTCAACCAGCTCCTTCAGCTCAGTGGAGTTTTCTCCAGGTAGAACGACACACGAGCAGAATTGCCTGTGATCAGATAATCAGATTATCACTCGACTGGATCATCAGATTATCACTTTATCAGATTATCACTCGACTGGATCATCATTTCATCAGGTTGTCACATTATCAGATCGAGGTTGAGCCGTCATCTTAGACGAGGCGGGTGAAATAAGGATCCCTGGACACTACAATACTGAATATATACTACTAAATATTACTTTAAGTACATGATTAAATACTACATTTATATAAAATAATTTGCCTACATAAATAGTATATGATATACACAAATAGTAGTATAAAGATGAATATTACAATATGTACATGATGAAACAATACAATATAAATACATACATAGAATGGCTATCAAGTAGATATAAATATTAGTATAAATAGAAATACTACGATATGTATATGATGGAATAATACCATAAAAGTACATAAATATGAATACTATGAAATGTATATATAAATACCACAGTATATTATGACAAAATACTACAGCAGCCTTTATCGTCAGAAATTAGTTTTGATTAGAATGACTTCTAAAATATTATATTACTGAACAGTTATTTATATTACAATTAAAATAACATAATAATTTGGTTTGAATACAAGTTTTAAGTTTATAGGATTTTAAGTTTGAGGGTGTAGAGATGAAGCTGAGCGGCTGCTTGAGTGATTAAACAGACTTATCATCTGATAGCGATCTTTAAAAGAGAAATGCAAACCTTATCCTAACATGATTTAATAATCAAATCAAGATCAGCAGGTTAAACTAAAAGAAGAAGAAGAATGTTTGTTTTGTTCGTCACTTTTGAAACTGACACCCCGGCGTCGGTCTCGTCACTTCTCTCAGAGGCTTCATGGGAAGAATCTGCACCACGTTCACGATGGTTCTGGGGATCTGAAGCATAGACTGTGTATAAAGAGATCTGAAACATAGACTGTGTGTAAAGAGATCTGAAACACAGACTGTGTGTAAAGAGATCTGAAACATAGACTGTGTGTAAAGAGATCTGAAACACAGAGAGATCTGAAACATAGAGAGATCTGAAACATAGAGAGATCTGAAACATAGACTGTGTGTAAAGAGATCTGAAACATAGACTGTGTGTAAAGAGATCTGAAACACAGAGAGATCTGAAACATAGACTGTGTGTAAAGAGATCTGAAGCCGGACGACCACTTTCATTAACTCAAATCATCTCCGCCCACCGTACAGTCCGAATGAATCCGTTCATTTCTCTATTTTTAGTCGATTCAGAGTCGAGGCCGTCGGTCCGGACTGAAAATATCTTGACAAACATGAGCCGAGCCGACTTGACATTTGACGCAGACATCAGTGATCCCCACCGGGTGAATCCTAAACGTGTCGGCGACCTCCCGACCTTTTCACTCGCTGCCTCCGATAGAGCACAAAAGCATGTTGTTGTGCTCGTGTTGTAACGGAGACACCAGGAGAGCGGCCCTCTCTCTCCCACCGAGTGAAACAGGAGACAGACGTGTCCATGGACTAGCTGTGTGTCACCGGCAGACGCATCCAGATAAAGTCCCACATTAACACCGACACGGTTCGTTGGTGTGGTAAATGAACTGGATTTAACGACCACTCAAAAGGCTTCGCAGTAGAGTCGAAACTCACTCACTCACTCACGGAGCTTCGGGCCGTAAACTGCAGCTCCGGTTTCAAGGCCCAGAGAAACTTGGGAACTGGGACTGGACGAGCCGGGATCTACCGACCCTCCGGTTAATGGACGAGCTGCTCTTCCCTCACGCTCTGGCCCCGGGTTACATTACAGAGCCACTAACTCTGTAACTAACTAACTCTATAACACTAACCAGTCAAGACTGGTCTCTGACGGAGACAGAGACTCTGGAACTTCTTTCCTGAGGAGATGAGAATCTCCAGCTCTTTACTTTTCTTTAAATAATTCAAAAAAACACATTTTAAGCATTAAGAGCCTCTGAATGACTGATTTTAACTGGATGTTGTTTGTTTCTTTCATTTCATCTTTCTCATTATTATTATTATTATTATTATATGTCACCGTCTGAGCCTGTGGCCTATGGTTGTTTTTGACCTTGACCTTTGACCTTTTGCTGATCAGCACAACATAAGATGAACCAATCACACGACATCACTACGATATTAAACATCTTAATTATTGTCCGATTGTGGCGTGCAGAGCGAAGCACACGTGCCCGGGTTTATATATCGTCTCTCTGATGCTTTTAATTTCCTTTTATATAAAATCTCACCTCATTCATCATCATGTCCAGAGCTTCTGTTATGTGGTGGATGAAATTGTCGGGGGAGAATAAAGTCTGCGGAGAGATCGAACACATTTTTCTCTTCATAACATTTAATAAATATCCCATTTTCTGTCTCCTGCCTCTGTTTAAATAAACTTTCTATCAAATTTAGTTTCACCGGAATAAAGAGGATCAGAAGAAGAGAATCATAATAATAATAACAATAATCATATAATTTACCATCCTAACAAAAATCTACATTTTCAGTTGGACCTGGATCGAGGTTGAGGATTAACCGGAGCGGGCGTGGTCGCGTGTGGACAGATTCGTACTTTGTCACACCGGTAACCACACCCAGCAGTAATGTCATGGTGCATGCACACAAACAATACACAACAATAATTCATTGATGACGTCAACAAGTAAAGATGTTTGGATCGTTCAAGCCACATAATCCTGCACATTACACACATACATTCAGAAATGCATTGAAATGTGACAGTAAAAATAAAATATGAAAGATGAAATTGGAAAATAATGTTTATAAAGAGACAGAGAATAAATGGAACTATGCTGCAATGGTTCAAAAACGTGATCTGATGTTATTTGTGTTTATTCTTAAAGATGTAAATGTTAAATTTTGTATTTAAACGTGTCTCATCTTGAAAAACAGTTTTAAAAACAGAAGCTAAATCGATCGCGTGTATTTGTACCTTGTTTTTACAGTAATCGCAGATGTCGTTCATGCCGATCAGCATCGTCACCACCTTCCAGTCCTCCTGGAAGTTCAGACCCTGAAGGAGAAACCTTTCAAATTTATGTTCATGAGATTATTTATGGTCTAATTAAAAAAAGGCTGAACCTTGAGACTCACTGGATGAGACTTGAGCGTGGTGATCATGTGTCGTATCTGATCGGCGATGTTTCTGTGGAAGAGGCATCAGTTTTATTCACGTCAGTAAAACTCTATCTCGTTTTTATCAGATGATTTGCAGCCGTAATTATTCTCAATTACTCTCATTGAAGGACTTTCTCACCTGCAACAACTACCATGCTGCCAAACAAATCACATTAGATCCAGTCCCACTGTCGATCAGTTTACATCTAATTTAACATTTAGATTTTCTATGATTTATTTTATTTTTTAATCCTATTCTCTGCAACGTTCACAGCATTTTCTCTTGCATTGATTTATTACTTATTTTTGACTTGATCTTCTTATTCCGATTTGAATTGACTCAACAATCACAATCAGAAATACTTTATTAATCACGATAGGGGAATTTGGAATTCTTACAGACGCTTCAACCAAACATAGAAATAAATACAGACCGAGATAATTATTATAATAGAAATATAAGAAATATGAAAGAAAATAAGAAGTAGAATAATATAAACATTATATTATCCAGTAGCTGAAACATTGTTCTAAAAAAACAAGTAATAAAAATAAGTGTTTAGGTGCAAGACAGATAATAGATAAGTGTAAATGTTGAAAATGTATAATAACCCCAAACTATGTGATAAATATATAAAAGAGATGGACGGGTCAAAACAGATCTTACAGCGTGTTGTGGCCGCTGACGGCGAAGTTGAAGCCGGTCTCGTTGACGGTTGTGGGTTGACCCTGCATCGTAATCATCGGGGACGGACCCATAATCTTGGGATTGAAGAGTTTAAAAATGTCTGAAAACAGCGACGAGGAAAAACAGAATTTAGAATTAAAACTGAAGCGTAAAGAAGCTGGTTGAATCAAAAAACTCCGACATTTAACTCCACTGAATCCAGAAATAAAAGATGTAGTTTAAATGTTATGAACTGAGCTCAGACACTCAGATATTCTGTTGTGCAGCCACTTTTATTCCTGCTCTCGTGACCCTTTAAGTTTCTTATTGTTTAAACCACAGAACACTCACTTACTTGCCAGTGTAATGACACTTTGAAACGTCTCGTAACCTCCGATGCTGCAGAGACAGAAAACAAAGTGACGCTGATTTCAAGTGAGTAGAATCAGAACAATAACGAGAGTCCTAATAATAAAAACCTGATTTTCTAATTAACCATGTATTTTATCCGACTGCTTAGATGAGATAAAGGGAAATGAACTTGGACACGGTTATGAAACAAACAGGGTTTTAAGCAGGTTGGGGATTATTTTGAATTATGTAACTCTGACACTCAAGTGAAAGGTGGAGCTGTTGTTACACAGGAAAAAAAACACAGAGATCTCAGGTGGAGCAGATTTACCTCCATGCCAATTGGCGATATTCAAAACGTATCGATGCAAGTGTGGAGCCGTTGGAGGCGATAGCTGTCTGCAACAACAACAACAAATATTATATTATCAATAAAATACAACTAATAATAATAATAATGATGATGATGATGATGATGTCCTGGACGATCAAACAAAGAAGATGCTCAAAAGAAAAGCATTTTCTAACAAGTGTAATGAAACAGAGGCTCTGTCCTGTTTGTCTTTATTGATCGATAAAGATTTCGTGATTAAAAGTGGAATTATGGGGGAAAAAACTATGAATGGGTAGAAATAAAATATGAATATAATTATTACCAATATAATATAATTACCAATGATTCTACACATCCATACAATGTACAAATTAGACTTGTTCCCAGTGCAACAGTTAAATATCCAGATGAAATGTAAAGTCACTCACAGTTATAGAGTCTCCCACTGCAGCGATGACTTTGACGTCTGCAGCTTTGACAAATTCAACTGAAACAGACGGACAAACATTCAAAGGCTCTAAAAACATTCAAGAATACGTCCTAACAATCAAGCAGAACTGCGGAAGTTATTCTCCTGCTGACATTTGTTATCAGTCACATCAAGCATATGTCTGTAAGCGAGAAACACAAAGAGGGGACAGTTACCTGAGGTGGGGACGGTTGGAGACGGACTCATGTCAGCGCAGTGAAACAGAGGATGAAGACGGCCCCTGAGAAAATCTGCTCTGTAAACATCCTGCAGGAAAAAGACCGAAAGAACAGTGTTTGGGAAATGAAGGCCTTGTGTGTGGTTGTATGAGCACATTCATTTGTTGTGTTGTTTATGGTTCTGATGTCGGTTGCTCAGGTCTGGATTCTCTAGATTTCTATATTGTTAAAATCTTTGGCTATGATTCCCGAGAGTTTGTCATCAAACCAAACAAACACGACAAAGTTTCTCCTCAGTTAATGGTCGAGGGTGAAGAACAGAGGACGCTGCACGGATCGTTGAACCCTTCGAGGCCGACTGGGATCTATAATAATTACAATCTACTGCATGAACTTAATTATAAACAAAAAGAAAACACAAAAACGATTTACTTGATACTTGAATCAACTTTTTTTTTTAAACTTAAACTGTAAAAAAATAACTGTGCATCTTTTCTGCATCATTTGTTTTTGTCTGTGAACAGAGACTTTGTGAAAAACATCTGATTTTTATCAGCCAACCAGTGACATAGTCGATCTTCGCCCTGGAAGGAAACCTGTTTCCTCGACTCGTCTATCGAGCTGACTCTTTTCATCTGAGGAGTGACACTGATTAAACTGGTTGGACGGAGATGAATCAGAATACCTGGTAGAAGACGTCTTCGTCTCCACCCGGTGTTTGGCCTGTGAGAGAGAAATATTACACTATACAATTACACATATAGTTTCAGATTCTGGTCACAAACCGGCTTAAATCCACGGTGAAGTCAATTTAACGAGTTTCACCGTCGGGACAACGGAATACATTCACACAAATACAGCCCGTGTGATTTATCACCTACCGTTCACATGATGAGAGGCAAACATACAAACTGCACAAAGAACCCTGAGCAGCATGATTCCGTCTTTCTCCCAATTAGAAAAAAGAAGAATATTAATACAGAGGTAGGTCCGGCTGATTTGGTGTCGTTTGACCTTTGCAGTGAATAATGACGAGTCTTCTCTCTAACCCCTGGAGCCGCAGGTAAAGCAGGTGTGCTGACCCAAGAGCCAACAATCCTTCTGAGCGACGAGGCCGATGCGGATGTGCAAATGGCTGCAGTTCCCCGTGTTGGCCACTCGAGGCCGAGCCCCAAGAAGGAGTCAGTTCCCATTGAGTCCCATGTTAAAGCAGAATGAAACCTTTTCACAGCCTGGATCAAACACGAGTTTAGTCTCAGTCTCTGAGTTCTTCCTCTGTGTGTGTGTGTGTGTGTGGTTATAGAGTATAAGTTTATATATAGTTATAATAACGAGGTTTGAAACTGTGAGTAATTATCACTTGATTGACACGTGACGTCACCGTTAGCTCGTCACTCCGGCTGTTAGCCTGTTAGCTCGGCTTCACCTGAGCTAACGGGCTAATCCCCCGTCGCCGAGCACGAGCGGAGTCTGCGGAGGAGTTTTCACTCACATGTCGGATGAACATCATCGTCTGTTGTTCGGCTGATTGTCCCGACGGAGAGGTGGAAGACGTCTGTGCTGAGTGAAGTACTGTCTGTGATTTACGTGTCAGTAGTGATGAGCAGGTATCATTGTTACCTGGCTGGTTAGCTTAGCTCCGCTAACCTCCAGGCAAGACACCAGCAGTAACGGCGATGCTAACGGGAGGGACGGGAGTTATTAACCCGACATGAAGCGTTCACACAGCGGAGAGAGGAGCGTTAGAGTTCATGGTGATAAATCTTTTAAACTGAAGGCGACTGTGTGTTTAGTGAATATCATCAAGTTAGATATCTAACGTTCTGTAAAGTTGTTCAGCTCGCCAACCTATGTGACTTGACTACGTTACTGTGAGTAACTTCAGTATTAATGTTTTATTAGATTATTGGTTCAGAAATAACGTCAGTGCAGCTGCTGCAGTGTGAAACTTAAAGCAAAGTATTGCACATGATGCATTACATTATATATGCAATACTTTTAATGTGAAAGAACTCCATACTGCACATTCATTATCACGGTAGTACACAGTTTAATCCCAAACCATATTCAGATACATACTTGAATATCCACAGAATATAAGGACACAGACTATGTTTGAATGTAACTTATCTCTGCAATAATGCCATACTTTTATGTTTCCTGTCATTTTATTAGGGACGGACGAACCTGAGGGACACAGCTGTGCTGACCGTGTTCTCTCTCTTATGGCAAAGAAGAAAATAAAACACTGTTTTTATCTAAAGTTCATCAAATCAGAAAGTTAAAAGATGAACATGTTGTGATAACAGTGTTAATTTTACCAACCATAATGGATATAGAAATTGACTCAATATTATCCATGATACTTTGCAATGACTACCAACTTTAAGCAGTTGCAGGTCATCTTTAGTTGAGGGCGGAACACACGAAGTGTTGTGCAGATGAAGCTTGTGCAGGTCGTCCTCATGTTGACCAGCCTGAAGCTGCCGATCTCCACCATCTGCCACAGTGGATTCTGAGGACATCAGGTGTTGCAGTGCTTCATGAAATGAAAAAAGTCACGATAAGGGTGTGTTATGCTGAAATCATTGTCACATCTGTAGATATTAAGGAACAGAGGAGAAACATGATTATTTACAGATACTGTACAATACAATAATTACAGTACTTATGACACACGTAATATCAGCTGTGTTAAGCAGCCAAGACGGGTACTTACAGTTTATTCTGTGTTCAGCATCAGATTTCAGCCAAACTGATGTACTAAAAGAAATAAACATTGTACAAATATATAAAATGTCTTTCTACCACATCTGTAATATTCAAGGTGATAATCTCTCTCAGTGCTGTTGATAACAGTCCACATCAAGTCCCTCAACTTCTCTCAGTGTGAAAACAGATCAATATATAATAAATATGAGCACTGTTTACAACAGTGGTGTGTGGAGATTATAATCACATCTACACTGTCATATAATTACACATCTGCACTGAGTCTAATTCACTGTGAATCCATAACAGGCTAAAAAACGAGGTTATAATAGTGATGGTGATTATACGAGCCTGTATCACATGCAGCTTATTAATATTAACTTATTCAAATTAAAACCAAATCACAACACAACCCTTTACTAAAGCTGGTTAAAGTTTGAATTTCCCTACTGGGCTTAATGAAGTATTTCTGATTCTGAACTTGCCTCAAACTTCATTAGATGTGTTAAATAAACTGTAAATCACCACAATAACATTAAAAACCACTTGAGGCTTGTAAGTATATGTGGTATAATTATGATAATAAATAAATCAATAGGTTTAGTTGTTTGTCACGACCGCGACCATCCCGGAGCAACCACACCGCAGCGCGAGCCGGTTAGCAGCAGCGGGTAGCATGTTAGCCTAGCTCCTTAGCCTGAGCTAACCAGGTAACGGTGAGCTCTGTGGGCGTGGCTCAGTTGTCAGTCTTCACTCAGCTCAACCCCACGCTCCTCCTCTTTGCCCATTTATGGGTTAGCCAGGAACTGGGAGGAGTCAGGCCCCGGCAAGATGGCGCCGGGTGAAACGCCCACTGCGAGCCTCATTTTCACTCTTCAGAAACCGACGGGTGACGTCACGGACACTACGTCATCTTTATACACAGYGTRTGTCAGAAACCGACGGGTGACGTCACGGACACTACGTCATCTTTAYACACAGTCTATGGAGCTGACATATGAGTGAGTAATAAACTGCAGTTTCACGTGGACGTGATTCTTCCTCCTTATTTCTGTTGAACAGAATCAGTCATTAAAGAGGCCGAGAAGCAGATTAAGGATTATTTGTAATTCACATGAAACCCAGTTACAGCTCAAACACAACTGATTGAAATATAAAAACATTTATCAAAACTTAAAAATGTTCACTCAGTTATTTAAAATGACGAGGTGATCCTTTAAAACTCAAACTTTACAGCAGCAGTGAAAACAAGATGAGCTGGTGAAAGAGTGATGAGAGAGTAAACAACGACATAATGAACTGCAAAGACTTGTAATTATGATAAATACAATCTAATATATATATAACGTGTAAAAGTATGAGATGTGATACACATAATACTGTGTATGTATATATATGACGTACCGGGGTCACGGGGTCACCTCAGGGGTCACGGGCCCTGACCCCAGGTGTCATCCCTCGTCACGTGTCTTCCTGCCGCAGGTAAACAAATGGCCTCAGCGGAGCTTCTCGGTGAAAACATGAGAAATGTGATCGTCCGGTTCGGACTGAAGCGACCGAGATGCCCGGACACAAGAGGAGATACAACGTTCGATTCCCTCCGGTGAGTGTTTGCCTCGTTCCTCCGGTACAGCCGAACAAAACCACCGGAGCTAACCGGCTACATGCTAACTGCTAACTCATGCTAGCACCGAGTGATGGGAGCTAATGCCGCGTTCGAGGACTGTGGGAAATCTTGATGATTGACCAGACAAAGTGACGTAAAGCCTGGTGGAGACAGTTTTTAACTTTATTCAATCAACGAGGTGGGACACGTGACAAGATCTAGGACAGATGTGAAGGAGAGTCAGTAAGGAGTTAGGAAAGGAGAAGGTTTCCTGTCCAAAACACACTGACGCGTCCTGAGGGAACATTTAACCATCAGATCCTCACAGGAAATAACAAACAGGACTGAAGTGTTGAGTTTCTATTTATATGTGGAGAAAAGTTTACATAAGAGGAGATAATTATATTTGTGTACATTCTCTAATCGGAGGATTGAAAAAAAATTATATTTGTATTTTGCACTGATCATATTTGTATTTATTGACGATGAGGATCCATGGATCATGTCAGGAGAATAAAACTTTATTTAGGGAATTCAAACAGCTCTCATTACGCCGGCTGCTGAAATACTTCTGGATTGTTTCACTCAGTTAGGAACAAACAAAATGAGACTATTCAAACAGAGTTCAGGCGTTTACGAGGAGCACGTGAATGCAGCATCTTGTCTTGTTTTTAAAGTCAGTGTGAAATCTCAGTTTTTCTTTTTTTCTCACAGAGTCGCATCAAGAAGATCATGCAGAAGGACACGGAGGTGGGGAGGATTGCGATGGCGGTTCCTGTGATCATCTGTATCCTTTCACACCTGCAGGTTCAGGGACCTCTCGGCATGCTGGGAGGTGGAGTCGGCATGCAGCATCTTCTAATATCCAACACAAACCAAATCAAAGCTTATTCTGAGAGGTTTGCTGAATGTACAGTTATTGCTTTAGTTGTTTGTTGTCATATTTTACAGTTTAATATTTCGGAGGAATTATTACGACTCTGGAGGAAACGTCCTGTGGTCCAGTGCTGACCAGCGACTGTGAGTGTGTGTGTGTGAGTGTGTGTGTGTGGTCTCAGTTGTGCAGCGGTGACGTCCTGAACCTCAGACATCAGCTCGGGCGTTGGAGATGTTCCTGAAGTCCCTGTTGACCAAGACCTGTCTGATAACTCAGTCCAAGCCCAGCACCGTCGTGTCTGTGGCTCACATGTGAGTACGTCTGCTGTGACTGTTTGTTATCACGTGAGGCTGTGCACAAGAAGAAGCTCGGTCACCTGCAGCTCAGTGAGGATGTTTCACCTCACGCAGCGTTCACACGTCCACACTGACTGTTTCTGATCTTCTCCTGTAGCTGTGCTGACTGGATAAAAAACAGAATTCAACATTTCTTACAATCTACAAATTTACATTTCACAGCACACTCGAACATTTTTAAAAAGTCAAGTCAGCATAATAAACGTATTAATGTCCGTTTTAGTTTGGAGTTAGGATTACGAGCAGCGTCCGTTTTTTGAGAATATGGAACTTGAGTCGTGTGTAAATGAAGAACGTGTATTCACGGTGTTGTTGATATTTCAGGAAGCAGTGCATAGAGTCAGAGAAGCTCTTCCACTTCTTGAAGGAGCTGGCGGAGCGAGCGACGTCTACGGCTCAGAGGGACAACAGAGGCCTGAGTGTGTGGCCGTTATACAGGTAGAGACTGGACCCCTCGGAAGCTTTACTACACTAACTAATAATTATTTTCATTATGGATTAATCTGCTTTTAATTCTCAGTCGAATTAGTTTCATTCATTTTCTGTTCAGCGACTAATTGATGACTGAGAGACAACTTTAAATTATTTATTTTGCTAAACAAAGAATCCAGAACCACAAAAGGATTCAGTTAAATTTCATGAATCATAATTTGTTTCTGTTGAAAAACTCCTCCTCCAGCTGTTTGACTGATTTTCCGTTGTTTTCGTCAGAACCAGACAAAGTGAACTTTCTGTGAAAAAAAAGCCAGACGTGGTCGACGCCGTGACGAGGAGGAGCCTCGACTCAGTCGCCCACGACTCCAGCTCCAGTGTACGTTTCCTCTCAGTCGTCCTCCGACACAAACGATAAGACGAGTTTTATCTTTTCACATTAATTCAACAGCTCAGATCAAACACTTCAGCGGTTCTGTTTGTGTCTGTGGCGCCCCCGTGAGGCTGAAATGTTCATTACACCTCAGAAAACGTCTCGATGATGTTTTACTTCAGTGTTTGTTTCATATTTTATTATCAGTATCATTAACTTCATTGTATTTTTTGACAGTGGCTGACCTCCTCCTCCTCCTCTTGCAGGAGTCGGAGCTCTACATCTGTTTATGACTGTGAGAAAACATCAAGAGGAAACTGTTGACGTCAACATTAACGGGGTTAATTTAAATTTT